TCTCTCTCTCTCTCTCTCTCTCTTCTCTCTCTCTCTCTCTCTCTCTCTCTCTCTTTCTCTGTCTCTATCATTCTCTATCTTGAGAAAAGTACACGCCTCTCTATAACTTTGTACTAATTGCTCCACCGATTATCGTTTCGACACGAAGAGAGGGGCACTTAACATTCGGCGAGATTCGCGGCCCCGCTTTGGTGCCGCGACGGCTCGCGCCGTTATTATCACGAATTTGATTACAAGTTTACTCTTATGATTATTCACACTGTCGCCGCTGAGAGCCTCATTGTTACTACATTGTTGTCACGAATCATCATCGTCGCGTTACTATAGAGGACAAATTTAAGAAACCGCCATCGTCGTATTGTCATTACTATATATTAAATATTGTTACCACCAACTTTTGCAGATACGGGGAGAACGGGTAAGTTAGGGGATTGCTGATCGCAACACTTCTGTCTAAAACGCCGATTGACTGGGGAATGAGAAGATCCACTCGGAAGGATCGCATCATGAATTGCCGATAAATTCACCTCTATTCGTATTGTACTTTCGCTCGCGGAATCGATTATCAATTCAGCGTGTAACTTACCCGTGCGAGCTAACCGGAATCCACTCTCCCCCGAACGGTGCTCACCCGAAGTGTCGCGGGAGTCGGTTTCCCGCGAGACCAACCGGATGAGAAGCGCTTAATTGAAGAGAAGCGAAACGAAATCACCCGTTCCGAGTACGTCCGCGTTTCAGTGCGAGATTCGCCGTAATCGGGATATCACGGCGAATCGCGATACGAGCGAGCAGACAAGCAGCGAGATTCTATCTGGACACACACTTTACACACGTATACACACACGCAGAATTTTATAAAGTGGAATCTCGCTGTGCGCTGAAAAATAAAATAAGAAATAACGGAGGAGAAGAGGCGAGGATTAAAGACGGCGCGTTTTTGTGTGCGAGAGAACAAACACTTTGTATGCACCCGCCCCCATTGTTCATGCCCATTTGTATTGCGTAGTTAGATCGATCGAGTAATTACGAGTCGGTCACGAGATACTATTATAAATATAAATATAAATATATATATACATAATGATATATATATAAAAGCAAGACAGAAATGAAACTACTGTAACTACACCTGCCTCTTGTGAATAAATGCCTATTTGTTTCTTTTCACGTGTCTTGTTACTCCCAGGCCTGCTAGCGGAACGACAAGAGGAGAGATAAACCAAGTCAGACACGCTAAATAAATTAATTAAAAAGATAACGGCGAATTGTCGGGCTGTGATAAGGATAAAAGTTGACGAAATCGCAAAACAGACTTTTATTAAATAAATATCGTCGTCATAATTGATCAGATCGAGAATTTTACAATTATACAATTCCGATTAGTGTATACGCTCATTTTGAAAACAATTTATTTACAAATACATAAATTTGCGATGCACGCTGTTTTATACAACGCATACACATGAAGAATCACACGTGCCATCAAATCCCGTCGTTGCTTCTTAAGATCGATTTGCGGAAGTTCGAAATCCGAAATAGAAGATTCTTAAGACGCATCGTTACAGTCACTATTCGATTAATAGCTTCTATCAATATATTAATATCGTTTTAATATCGTAAAAACATTTCAATGGTATTGCACTATCGTTGTGTTAAAAGATCAGAGATCACGGCTGGATCGATCGACTTTCTTTTTCAATATATACATTATCTCAATTTTTTTATGTACATGTCATAGATAATTCATTCATTGGTCCTGTCGGACGGAACGATGGACGGATATTAATTCATAGTCGATTAATTTAATATTGAAAGTCATCCAACCGTATAATAGAATCGCTTTTAAATAAATGCGTAACAAATGCATAAAGGTCTCATTTCATTAAGTCTCGCAATTTCTATAAATTATTTATTTCTGCGATTCAATCGTTGATAAAATTTAAAAAAAAAAAAGTTAATTTTTTCTATTATAATAATTAATTTCTTTTATAAATACAATAATGCAACCGTAATAAATTAGCAAGCGCGTTCCTGCTCAATTCTAACGTAAGACACAGCGTATCACAATGTTTCGTATCGAAAACAATTCGATATCCTTGCGTTGCAAAGCAAACGGACATAAGGATACAAGTAACTCTATCCGTAGTTTATTATTTGTTGAGCTGATCGCAAACTCAGTTCAAAATAAAAAAACTCGTCATTTGAAGATCATTTTTACCATAAAGAATGATTCGTTCCGTTCAATGATTAGGATGACGTGACGCGTCCTCGCGCAAAAAAAGCGGCTGCGCCGATCCTAATCACTTTTGCCAAGACTAGACTGGACATTAACATTTTTTTACATTTTTTCGACACTTTCGGGCGATTAATCTTTTTCTGTATAAAGCCCCGTGACCAATCAATTTTCAAGCGATGCTCGATTAGCTAATAACCCACTTAATTTGTCTAAAGCGAATAAATCGTCATAGCAAGATTAAAGAAATGTTTGCGGAAAATTTTTCTTAACTGAAAACATTAACTAGATAATATCAAAATATTATTTTAGTTGAATTTTCTGATTTAGCTTCAGTTTCTCTGAAACATCGACAACAACTTTCTTCTTTCGATAAAAAATAATTAGTTTTGTTGTCTCTATTAATGCCGCAATGTAATTTTATGCTATTAATATTTCTTGTATGAACAGTCAATGAGTGATAGTTAGTGACAGTTCGCCGTATATATCGATCGAACAGCTTGACAAAAAGTGACAGGTAAAAACGCGGCTAGCCGGTGTGTCAAGTGGAAGGTGAAAGACATAATTACACTCGGCGCCATTAATTGCTCTTGGTTAGGCATTTTCGAACACAGTCTCTGAACTTTTAGTAAATAACCATTAATTAAAAAATTTAGAGCTATTTAAATAAATTATTAAGATTTATTAAAAATTATTATTAAAAATTTGGTTGAAAAATTGGTTGGTGAATTTAAAACTGCATTCAAGGCAACAAAATTCTAAATGAAAAATGTTATTGACGCCTAGCGTAAGCGCGTGTCGAGTTGCGCGAGAACGATTTAGAAAAAAAAGACGGTCACTTTCCCTAGTCGGGGAATAGTGTAGAAAGTCGGACGCGCGTTTTCGCGCGTTTTTACAAGCGACGGTAGACCGGTCACTTAAATTCGAATTACATAGTCGTGAGTTTCGACACAAGCATCAGCACCGGTGTAATAGGCTCCCTGTGGAGGAGCCTCGTCGAGCAACGCGACAACATTTCTTGCACTCATGCACCGATATATACGTACTTCAACACACATTCATGTCGGTGTAGATTCCGAAGCTTGCACAAGTCCGGAATAGCGTCTGGTCAACGACGTTCATTCTCATTCTTTTAATTACAAAATCGCTAGTTAAAAATTAGTTCCAGATTCAACGTTTGTCTTACACGTCGCAACGTGTGATGCAAAACGCATCATGTAAAATAGTTTCAGGAGAGCGTGACAGAAAATGTCTGGAATGCTGCTTCTTCTCCTCGTCGTGGAAAAATGTGTGGTCCGAGTACTATTCTAAACGGTCTTTATAAAAGTAAGTACACCTAAATGCGCACTATGTTCTCTTCGCCTCTCTTTTACGATTCTTTTACACACGAAATAGCTGCGCAGGAACCCAAAGTACAGTCTACGTGAGAGCTCGCGATAGCGTAAAGTTCAACGCAGCGAGGCTATCGCGTTACGTCACTTTCGTCAAAATAGACCGAACATCTTTCTCGTCGAGCCAGTGCTCCGCTTTTTCCTGGCTGGCGCCGACATGTCCGAGTTCTCTCCGTTTCTCGTGGCAACGATTTGCGACGCCGGGGTCAGTTTGCTCCGCACGTGCTCGTCCAGAAGGGCCTGCATGTCCATCTGCCATTGCTCCAGCTGCTGACTCAACTCGACCTTTTGCTTGATCGCTTCCTTCAGCTGACTGTCCGCTTGCAGAATGTCTATCCGCGTCCTGGCAAGCTCCACCTCGACACGATTTTGCCGGGCGACCGCTTGATCGCGCACTTTGTAAGCCTTCGCCACAATCTCATCCTTCGTCAGCTCGGAATGCTCGATGTCGCACCTAGCCCTGTCGCGCTCCTCCCTGACGCCGCGCAGCTCCGCCTCGCTGACGCTCAGTTTGCTTGTTAGCTCGAGAATCGCGTCGCCGCGTCGCTTCAGCTGCTCTTCCTGCATCTTGCATTGCTCCCGCGAATGCTCTAATTCTTCCCGCACCCTGTGCAGCTCCACCGCCAGACCCAATTCCCCTGGTGCCCCTCTGCCCGACAGCGAGAGATTATAAACTTCTTCGACTAACTCCAGCAGCGCACCCGGACAGTTCGTCTAAAAAAGTAAGAAATGCTTAGCAATTTGTTAAAAATAAATTTTAAAAAAAGATTAGTGACATTGAAGAAAGTTTGTAAAGCGCGCGCGCGCCAAATATCACGGAGCTAGAATTGCTTTCTTGAAATGCGTCTATTTTTTTTTTTTTTTTTTAATTAAACAGTGTATTTTTCCAATTAACACTCACAGGTGAAGGGTGAGCCTCCCGCTCGTTGGTGTTCACTTCTGCCTCGGAGTTGCTGAGATTGATAACAAGCATAGACTCGTCGCAGTCGCTCTGTAAGCCCGAGTCGTCCTCGCCGCGTCTCAGATGAGCGCACAGCTCCCTCAGCCGCTTCGTCGCCCTCGCTACTTCCGTCCTCAGACCTCCGTCCTCTTCCCCTAGCGAACTACCACTCTCCTCGCATTCCATTTCCGCTTGCAGGGATCGCGGTGGCCTCTGTAATGAGCCAGACCTAACCCTCCTTTCCGCCTCGATAGCCGCCAACGCAGACGCCAGTTCATCCCTAAAAGCAATAACAACACATTTCGTATCGTGGGATCGTACGATGAAAAGGATTTGTCGCGCGCTCGATAAGCTGCTAAAAGTATTTTTTAAGTTTACAACGAAGTATTTGAACAGTTATTGATTTTATTCGCATTATACAAAATCATTATTGGCTCTGAATAATCAAATAATAATACCGTGATACGATATAAATACGGTCTCTGCTTCGTCTCGCGTGGATGAGCTTTGGAATTCAGTTGTAGAATTTCGAAGAGTTTAACGGTAGCTCGTGGATTATGCTCGATCGAGCGTTAGGTGTCAATCGACCAACAATGACGCACTTAGGCTGCGGATTCTGATCTCACCTCTCCTGCTCGGCCACTCTCGCGCGGTGTTCCGCCTCATGGCTAAGCCGCTCCAAGGCCGTGGCTCTCTCCTCGGCTTCCTCGAGGGCCGCTATCGCCCTGGCTCTCTCCTCCCGCAATTCCAAGGACCGCCTCTCTAGCTCGGTCCTTTGTGCCGACACTAATTGCACCTGAAACGGCGGGTGTAAGATTTATGTCGCGATTCAATTATCATTTCGAATCTTAATTTTCAATTCTCTACGCCACTTAAATTAGAATTGCAAATAAAATGTAAAATATGAATATTTATGCATGAAATTAAATGCACGAAATGTTGTAGATTCTCAAAAGAATCTTATTGCAAAGTTATATTCATATCTTTTCTTTTATTATATATATTTTTATCTTTAGCGTGCAATTTATTTTGTTACAGAATACACAATCGAGAAACATATAAGACAAATGTGTGAACTGCATGCATGCGTCATGAACAATATCCGGTTGTAAGGTGAGAAGAAAGGGCGTGGAAATCGAGTCGATCGATGAGGGTCACGTTCATTTTTATTCGATTATAACATTTTCCCAGCAAGTGCATGCATAATTTCGTGTGCGAACGTGAACAACGATTACCGCTTCCTTTTTATAAAAAAAAAGGATGCTGTGAATTATTCAGCAGGCCCCGCCTGAGAAAGAAGCGCGTTTGCCTTCCGATGGATAATGATTAATAATGACAACTTCCGTTCCTCGCGGAAGTAAATTAGACGAAAAGGAAACTCGAATAAGAAACTCTTAATATTAACAGATTGCGGAGAGAAACTGCCATAAGAACTCGCGTCTTTATATGCAAAAGCATACTAATTATGGTGTTCAGAGATTATGTATCGAGATTAAAATTTCATATTCACCTCGTCCCTGAGGATCTCCAAACTGCTAACGTGATCCTGCAGCGTGGTGTTCCTGAGAGCGCATTTTTCTCTCAGCACCTTCACCTCGAGGAGCAGCTGCTCTTCCTGCTTGGCGCCCTCCCTCAGCTGATCAGCCAGCCTCGTGTTTTGCGCCGTCAATTCCGCAACGAGGACCGCTTGATCGCGTTCCGCTCTCCTCGCCCTCTCATTTTGCTCCTCCAGCTGACTCCTCAGAGTCTCCACGTCAGTCTGCAGCTCCAGAGCTCTCGCTTCACTCTCATCTCTAGCTTCTTCGAGTCTTCTTCGCAGCAGATGCCTTTCTTGCTCCAAACTCTGCAGCGAAAGAACATTCTTAATTAGTTAACAATTACGGGAGTGCAGATTTATTTCTTTCGCAATTTTAAAATTTTGAAAAGTTTTATTCAAATCCGGCACAAATTTTGGCGACTCGTAAGCTAAATAACTTTTACTACAAAAGCGTACATAACGTTGAAAAAGATTATAGCACAAAGTTTCACCGGTTATCCCTTTCACAAAACTGGCGTCTCACATTCTTAAGACTTAGAACATTCCTAATTAGTTAACAATTACGGGAGTGCAGATTTATTTCTTTCGCGATTTTGAAATTTTGAAAAGTTTTATTCAAATCCGGCACAAATTTTGGCGACTCGTAAGCTAAATAACTTTTACTACAAAAGCGTACATAACGTTGAAAAAGATTATAGCACAAAGTTTCACCGGTTGTCCCTTTCACAAAACTGGCGTCTCACATTGCACGCAGACGTCATTCGGTGAACTTAGAAAGAAAAAGAAACCCGTGTGAGTCAGAAACATGAATTATGTTCCAGGGCGTTTATACCCACGTATACGAAATCGAGATGGTGTTGATAGAGTTGAAAATCCAGTGAAAGGAGCTCGCAAATTATTAATATATAATTAAATGCAGTTTGACCACTCAAGTCAACCGTTCCACTTTCCTTTTCTTTAACAAACAAAAGTGTTTTCCAAGATAAATATTCATCGATGTTTTCAATTGCCCAATTGTAAAATAAAATTAAAAAAAAAAAAAAAAACAATTCCTGTTAAATTCAGAAAGAGCGCAGGAAGGCTGACACATTTGTATTTTCTCGCAGAATAGCTCGCAAAAATTTTCGCCGACAAAGGTGCGAACACGATGCTTCCGTGCATAACAAAGCACACGAGAACTGGTTTCATCGCGAGTATACACGCTGAGTGATGGCCACACACGTGAATCGCTTTGTTCCCACATGCAGTTTCTCAACGTGATGCGCGATAGCGTGCTCTGCAGCCAGTAACAAGATGTAACAGTCGGAAAATGCGTCGGCCCGATTTTAAATGAAGCGTTAGCGTTAATTAACTCCATTTACTAAGTGAGGCAATACTGTTAATTAGTCGCGATACTAAAAGCGATACTAATTACGTTTATGCAATCGTGCTCGCATTACGTAGTATAACACAACTTCCAAAAAAGTTGTTGTATATATAAACACGCAAACCTTACAAAAAAGTTGTTGTGTATTTTACCTAACAAAAAAGTTGTTGTATATTTGAAAATCAACAAATTACCTTTTTAAAAAAAGGTAAAGAAAAGGCGCCAAGTGCACGCAAATCTTCCAAAAAAAAGTTGTTGTATATATAAACCTTTCAAAAAAAGCTGTCGTATATATTATATATTAACCTTCCAAAAAATTTATCTTCCACAAAAAAATGTATATATATTAACAAATAACAAACCTTTCAAAAAAAGTTGTTGTATATATAACCAAATAAAATTTGCTATATATTCT